GAAGCCGGTCGCTCGTAACTTAACTCCTGTTTACCCAATGTATTGGGTCCCAGTTACCCAAAAGAGAGGGTAAAAAAGTTTTTGACATTCGTTTAATCATGTAATTAAAAATATTAAATAAAAAAAAACAAAAAATAAATACTAACATTATCAAAAACAAAAGATTGTTTTTTTTCAAAAAAAATGGTTTGAAGTTAAGATCATGATTTAGTTAAGATCATGATTTAAAATAGTAATTTATAGATGGGCACGCGCGTGACGCGCAGGATTTTTTAGAGCCCGCGCGGGATTTTCCAAAATAAGATTATCTGGCCGGCATTATCATAACAACCATAACATCTGGCTAGTATTAATATAATATCTGGCCTGCATTAACATATTTAGATAACTCCTAATTAGAATGTAATTTTAATATCATATGATTGCTGCGCATCGATTTGATTAGTGTAATTTACATGTTACTAAAACTTATGCATTGTAAATTTGTAAAATATAATTTTCAATCCTAAGTGAAATGTGTTCCTAGGTTAATTTTACAATTGCAATTAAAAATTAAAAAACCAAATTCCGACTAAAATTGATGAATCTCGCGTGGGATCCACGGGCACGAACCTAGCATGACCACGATTTCTGTATCATATATAGAAACTTTGATTTTTTTTTCTATATCTAAATATCAAAGAAAATTTTTTTGCTATACATCAAAAATCAACAATAAAAGATTTGTATTAAACAGTTGAAAGAGTCATAATTCAGGAAACGCAGGGCGTGATAATTTTTTTAAAAAGTGGGAAATCTTAAGGATAGGGTGTAATATTTTAAAATTATTATTATTATTTTTTTTATAGTTAAAGTTTCTATCTTTGAATGTGACATTTTTATTCAAGTATATAGAACACAGCATGCCATCAGAAGTTACCTTACATTGGAGGCTACAACTAGCTACACATGCATTTTTGGTGTCTAATTTAAGTAGTTTACTTATACATTGCTATATAAGTTTTACACTAGTTGTTATACCTGTAAGCCAACTAAAGGTCTTAGTTATTTAAACCCTCTATATATGCAATCCTCTTTGTATCACAAGAACATCTCAAAACTACACTCATCCAAGTTTCTGATACTAGTTGGTACTCTTAGGATTACTTTATTTTTGATAAGAAACTTACTAGAGTCTTTATATCTTATACATATAGATCTAGTTTTATACAATATGTTATAGTTACCTAACACTTGCAGTCATAAAGGTTATCTGTTTAATCACTACATTACACTATTTCTATCCTTATAAAGTTTATTAAAACCTTAGTACCTATTTTCCTAATATCTTTTTCATCATTCCCTACTAGTTGCAACTCAGAATCAGCAGTCTTTTCCAGACTATCAATCTAGATGACTTGGTTGATTATGTGTTTCTTTATATATATTTGACATCTAGTTTAATCTTTGGTTCTTATAAAGGTGTTTTGTGGACTTCAATTGGTCTGATGGTATCATTGAACATTCATCTTATCTCTTTATTCAGGAATTTTCAAATAGGTTTTTATTACTTTAATTTCTTAGTCTTCTATATCTAATAGTCTTATTGTAAATTTGTACTAAAGTCTTATACAATACCAGTTATATATTTCTCTATATATGTGTAATGTTATATTTCACATAAATACTTTAAGCTTCCAATGTTGATAAGACCTAATTTGGTATATTTAAATTATAGTTGTATGAAGTTAACTAATCGACAGAAGACAGTTACTATAATGCAGATATAATTTCCAAATTTCATTATAAGTGAAATTTGAACCTTAGATCTGCTACTTGGAAGATAACAATCCAACTACTATATTAGAATCACTATCTTCTTATATTTTAAAATTATATATAAACTTAATAATATATTTTTTTTATAATTTTAATTATGAAAATTTTTACTAATTAAATATTTTTTAAGTTTTTAAATAAAGTTGTAGAATAGGTTTTTGTAAATTTAACAGAAATAAAATTATTAAATTTATATAAAACTTACCAATATATGAATTTTTAAAGATTAAATATAAAAATTTACTATTAAAATTCTTTTATAGTTTTTCAGAAATTAGTCAATTAAAATTAACTTTTTTGTATAACTCTTGAAAAAATATAAAGCTTCTCAGAAGAATTCAAGATATATATAAATAGATTTTTTTTAAATTAAACATCTTATAAAATTTTATCATAATAAATAACTTATTTAAATCTATATATTATTAAATTTTGATAAAAATTAATTAAAAAATAAAAAAATTTTATTAGTAATATATCTTTAATTTACTATATAAAAATCTATTATATTATCTAGATTATATAAAAAATAATCTACATATATTCTACTCTTAAAAGTAAAGTCTGTGTAGATTATTTTATCATAATTTGCATATCTGATTAAAATTTTTATAAAAAATTTAAAGATATTATTAATATAACTTTTTATAATTATATTTAATTTTTATTAAATTTTTATAATATATATGTTGTACTTCAGATTGGAATCTGCCCAATCCAGAATTCAGCTATCCCAATTCAGAATTGGGATAACCCAATTTAGAATTCTTATATGAGTTACCCAAATTGAGAATTCAGTATTTACATATTAATTATATATCGGCATACAAATATTGTATCAACCCAAGCACATTTAGTTGTTCTATTTTTTTTTCAGTAAAGCTACCTTTGTTAAAAATGTATTATATAATCTTTGAACAATGTAATTAATTACTAAATTAAAAATATGACTTATATAAATAGAAAGAACATCATTTATTAAAATAATATGCTTAAAATCAAATTTCTATTATTAACTAAATTAGCTGTCTAGACAATAAGATTATGCAATGCTACAAAATACATAACTTAAAATAAAATATAAAACTTATTTTCTATTTTCAGCTTTAAGTTCAGTGCTTATACTTTGAATTCTTCAGATGATATCCACTTTCACATACAATATTTGCTTTTTTGCAAATACATCTTGCTGTAAGACAGTCACCTCTACAATTGCATACTTTGTTACTAACAAGAGTATTAGATTACAATCTTGCCACCTCAATTATACTAACAGTTACATTGGTTAAAGGATTATCCAACTCCAGATATTCTTTTGGTCTAAGTGATAAAACTATACTAGCTGAAAATGCTTAGTCAAGAATGCCAAATTGACATACAAGGCAATATATATTTCTGGAAAGCACTGCAAACATTTTGCAAGAGAATGCACAATGATTACTAAGGCCACGATCAATTTTGGTAACTTGAATTTTTACTAAATCACCAACTTCATAAACATGTTTATGAATATTGTATTTTGTATGCATCTGGCATTTCATTTTAGAATGATAGTCTTCAAGATTTTTATTTGCAACTTGCTAATAAATGTTATACTGGGAAGTTGGATTATTTGAAGCTTCTTAAATAACTCGAATATGATGTTTTTTGGAAGAAACATAATTATTTGAATTATTTGAATTAATAAAATTTTAATTTTCCTATTATAAAATAGAAATATAAATTGTAATTAACAAGAATTTACAATATTTACTGTAAAAAAAATAAATCTTATAATAACTTTATCTTTTGTAATTCTTTCTTGATTACTTGTAAAGTTATCTTGTGCAGAAACTATTTGCTTACTAGCATCATCAGTTGTGAATTGTATTTGTTGATTATTAAAAATAGTTTGTTGTTGCATTGTATAATTATCTTCTATATCTATATATATTTAAGAGTTGACAATTCAAAAATCCTGTTTATTACAATTAAAATTAGATTTTTAAAAAAATTTATATATAGATTATTAATTTAATACTTTTCAATTCATGTTCTTCTAGAACAGAATTTATTAATGAAGATTTATTTGTTTGTAAAGTACTATATTTTTTATAGTGCTGTTTTTTTTTTAAAAAATATCAGAAAATAGCATTAAAGATTGTAAACTTGATAGAGAAGCTACTATCAAAAACTGTAAAGCACTATTTCTTTCCATATTATTAATTTGAATGATTTCATTGAAATCTTCATATTCATTAGATAAGTTATTATCTTTATTTTTAGAACTTTCCTCATCCTTGATGATATCTTCAGACAAATCTTTCTTCATATTAATGTTATGTTGCTTCTATTCTTCAATCAAATTAAAGTGGCATAAGGAATGTTGCCCAAAAACCAATTCATATAGTGTATAATTGGTAGGTCTGAAGCGATGAATATTTATAGTATCTAAAAAAAAAAAAATTAATAAAATATTAATAACAAGTTATAAATTATTAATCAATATATCTACATGTAACTATTGAAAGGTCAATACTTCAATCTCTTTGATTATTATCTTCCATCCATGTAGAAAGAACATTCTTCAAAGTCTTGTTAGAGTTTTTGATCATACCTTGTGATTAAAATGATGAGAATGCCCATTTATTATATAGATTTCTTTTCATAAACTGTAAAGTTCATAAATAATTTGAGCAGTAAATTCCCTCTCATTATCACTTTGCAAAATGTATAGAGGCCCAAAGACAGTAAAAACAAACAATAGAAATGCAGCAACTTCTGTTGCCTCTTTAGTATATAGTAGACATGTCTACGAAAACCTTGTAAAATAATTATAAAGGTGTGCAATATACTGGTATTTCTTATCCAGTATTTCTCAAATGAAACAAGATCTACTTGTACACATTGCAAGAATTTTTTAAAATAATAGTCTCTCTAATAATAGGTGCAGAAAAATTTCTTCTCGTACAATATTGTGCATATTGAGCAACATATACCTTTATAAAGGACCAAGAAATGTAAGCATATTGCTTGCTTATCTAAAATATAAGCTAAATTAAAAGCTAGAAAGTATAAAATGCTAATATAAATTTAATTATATTCTATTTATCACATCAAAAGTTTTCTTTGAACCAGAATGCTTATGAGTATTATTATGCATTCTTCCAATAACAGTATAAAGGTTTTAAAATAAACAAATAGCCTGATCTGGTTTATCATTTGAATTGGCATTCTTCACTTTTATAAGTTAAAGAATAAGGTTCTAGGGCATTTCAAGGTCATATAAGTAAAAACTATTTTTTGCCCAGAAATGGTCTTTTGCTGTTCTATTAGATGTATTTGTAAGTTTTTTAAAATCTTAATTATCAAATCATAGTCTTCTTGTATAATAATAGCTTTTCTTTGTTGCTTAGAATTACAGTTTGATAAAAACTCTAATACCAGTTGATCAAAGACAATACGAGAAAAAAAAGAAAAATTTGCATTTCTATCTATAATATTTAACATTAAATAATTGATAAAGAAATAAATAGTAAGCTATATATATCATTCTATTGAGTAAGTTTATTTAATTTATTCACTTTTTTTTTTTCTTTTTTTTTAAAAAAAAAAAAGAATACTAATCACATCTTATTTTTTTTATTTATAATAAATTTAAAATTTTAATTAATTGTATTATATTACAAAAATCATCATTTACTTTGCTCTTATATGACTGTTATACACACTTTGCAACTGTGAACACTTAATTTAAATTGCAATTGATCATTTATTTTTAACTGATTGTACATACATAGGCTTCAATAGAGTGTTGACCAACATTCTCAATCTGGGTAACTTATATAAGAATTCTAAATTGGGTTACCCCGATTCTGAATTGAGATAGCCAGATTCTGGATTAAGCAGATTCCAATCTGAAGTACAACATATATATTAAAATATGTTTTTTACAATAATTAAAATTTAATACAACTCTTTTCTGTAGATCATCAAAACAAACAAAATTGATAAAAATTTAAAAACAATATTACAAGTTTTCTTTAATAATATAACTTTCTTTTAAAATATTGGATTTAACACTATTAGATTTAATATTACTAGAAACTCAAAAGCCATAAGCAGCTAATTGTGATTTGGTTGCTAGTATAAACTTAGCAATTCTAGTAAAAAGCAAACAAATTTCATTTATTTATCATTTCTGATCTGTACAGACTAATCAACTTGGTTTGTCACTTTCTAAAATATCGAGAAGACTATAGATTTTACTTATTCAGTATGTCTTCTTCTTATTTTAATATAAAATTTACTTATATTAAAATCAAACTATTGAGAAAACTTGGAGTCAGTTTTGAAAAAATTGGTTCTAACAAAAGTAGAGCATCACACTACTTCAAAAAAATTGCAAAGCACACATAATTAACTAAAACAATAAACAACAAAACAAACAAGCAGCCATGTTTCAGATATAGTAATTTATAATAATTGGCAAAAGAAAACAATAAACATCAAGTCATATACAAAACTAAATTAGAAATTAAATAGTCAAACAATAAAAATACAAAAATAGATCAAGCAAATAAAGTAATTAAATAGAGATAATCAACAAACAAAGCCTAATCCAACAGGTACAAGAAATGAGTAACAAACTGCATAGATACTTAAACTGCAGTGAATTAAACTGCATCTTGAAAATACTTATGACTAAAAAAACCAAGTGACTTAGAAACTATAGCAAAATCTTAGATTTTGGTGATTTCCAAAAAATTACAACTAAAGATCTTCTACTATATAGTCAAATACTCGAAGCCCTGAGATATGTATTAGAAAAAACTAAAACAATACCAAAAAAACTATTAAAGATTGAGCCAATAAAATTAAGATAGCAAGCCAAAATCTAGGCTCAGTTGATTACATGTTAAGTTTAAACAAAGAAGAAATAAGAAAAGAAAAGAATAAGATAGAAGAGATCAAAAAAAATAATAGAAATAAAAAAAATTATTCTAGTACAATATCAATGAAAAAATGACAAACAGAAGATACAATAATGACAAATATAAAAGTAAACAAGAGCATAAAGCAAATAGAAACATCAGATACAAAAAAGTATCAAGTATTAGTACAACAAACAGAACTAACAGATAAAAACAAGAAGCTATTAGTAAATAATGATAACTGTATAGAAGTGTCAGATAAAAGAGAGCACAAGATAAATAAGAAAACCTTACAAGAAATTATTATCCAAAGTGTCAGAGAAACAACCAAACAGAAAGAGTTAGAAATCAAACCAGTAGCAACTTAGTTAGAAGATAACCTCTAGTCTCCTAAAAACAGAACCTGCAACAAGAGTGCTTTTTTTAAAGCAAAAATCTCATTCTTTAAAGTTCCAGAAGAAACTAAAGAATATCAAATCAATTATATAAAATGGGTTCTTAGAAGAAATAAATATATTAAAACAATTGAAGAGAAATTTCAGAATGGTAATAGCTAGGTAATAGTTGATTTCGACTGTAAATATAGCAAAAGAACATTAAGTAAATGTATTAAAGAAAAAGAAGGAGACTGATGTAATCTTATTCCAGAAAAGATTAAAATTCCAGAAAGAAAATTCAATGTACATTATAAAAAAAGTAAAGAGGTAACAAAACCAAAATACAAAGAAAGATACCAAGTGGTCTTAAGTTCACAAAAAAAAAAATTCAGCTCACACCTTAAGAAAAAAGTAGAAAAACCTAGCTCTAGCAAAAAGAAAAAAGAGAAGATAGAAATTACAAGATATTTGACAATTTGGGACTTGCTAGTAAATGTCAAGTACAAAGAAATAAAATATATATGCAAAAGCCTTGGCAATATACATATAGTAAAAGTCAACAGATTATAATTTAAGGCATTAGCAATAATTAAGATTACAAGCAGTAATGATGAATACATCCCATGGTTATTACTATTAGATAATAACAAGTTAGTCTAAGTAACTCAAGGGGAAAAAAATTACAAACAAAGAAATAGACAAAATCTTTATACAGCCAAATTACTAAAGCTTCTCAAAGAAGCTCAGAGGTGCTGTTTTTGCAAAGTTTAAAAAGTAAAGATGCAAAATTGGCATACATTTCTACAAATAAAAATAGTAATTCTAGGAGATTTGCAATAATTATATTTGCAAGCCAGGAAGAATTAGAAGCAGCACAGTCCAAACTGATACAACTACACAGTCTTTTGAAAAGACTACAAGTTAAAAAGAAAGATAAAAGATAAAACAAGATTAACTGACAAAAATTATAATGATGAAGAAATAGAAAACAATGCTCAGAAAAGAAAATACAAATATAAAGAAAGAAGAAAAAAATGAGAAATCAATAAAGAGGAAACAAAATTATGCAAAAAGGTGATATAAAAATATCTACAAAAAGGTTACTGTTAAGAATATTTAGCAAACTTGACAAATTAGAAGAGCAGAAAGAGGATAACAGCACAGTAGTAAGATGGATATCATCAAACTACTCCTAATAGTTGCTAAAGTTAACTTGAAGTTAACAGATATAAAGTTGTGCTCCTCTTTACAAGTTCAAGTAGTTAGAACAGAAATAGTATAAGAAAATATTCTATATCTAAAAGAAAACTCTAAAAAAGATAAAATAGAGTTACTGAATATAGATAACAGTAAAAAAATAGAAAAACAAATAGATAATGACAAGTTTTAGCAAGAGACTAGAAATACTTAACATAGAATTCATACAGAAAGAATATATGAAAATGAAAAAATAGAGTTTAAACTAGCAACACACAATATTAACAGCCTTAAAGCAAATAATCAAAAAATAGAAGTGCTATATGAATAGATAATAGATAATGAACTTGATATCATAGGACTCTCAGAAATAAATATCTCAGCTAAAGAATGATTCTTCCTAACAAAAAATTTAGAAAAATATAAAAGTTTTTGGACAAATGCATGTTTAGACAAAAAAAAAGATTCAGGTATAGGTTTGCTAATTAGCAATAAGTAGAAAAAACATTTGGAACAAATAGACAAAGTAAACAAATATATAATCTTAGCTAGTTTCATGTTCAAACAGCTAGAGATTATTGTTATAATGACTTACTTGCCATCAAATAACAAAGAAAAATAAAAACAAATTCAAAAAACAATTATAAACAAGTATATTAAGAGACTCAAAAGAACACAAATGGTAATTATAAGCGATTTTAACAGTATAGTAGATGTCAACTTAAATAAACTGACAAAATCAAAAAAAAAAGTAACCAAAACCAAACCTATTGTTGAGTTGGCTTAAAAGACAAGAATTTAGAGATGCATTTAGATTAATTAAT